TCAGGCCATCCTCTCAGCCCAGAGTCGGTACGATTCCGGTGAAGGAAGGTATAGTCCCACAGTTGTAGCTTCATGCGTAGAACAGATAAAGGTGCCTGGTCGCGGTTCGCTTACTCCCTGCGATTGTAATGTTCTCCGGGTCCAACCTGCTGCTACGCTCAGTTTCCTGCCGGGGTCTTGCTCTCATGGCCAATACACCCACCGAGACAATGTCGGGGGGGGGGGGGGGTTGCAGAAGAGGCAAAAAAGGAGAGCATCCCCGGCCCTTTTTATCTCTTTCCCTGGCCCAGTCACGGCTTAGTACCGTCCGTGATGCTCTCTAAACATGCTTACATGCTGGCGGGAAGAGACAAAAAGCTTGCCTGGTGCTGTCGCTGGCTGGCTGCCATGTCCTGCCTGTCACATTCCACCAATCTCTGCATTCCAACAAACCCCGTCTGGTTCCGTAGGATAAAGACGATATCCCTCCTCTTTTTTTTTCACAGTCTGCGCTATGCCCAACCTGATACGGGACGGAGTACGCCCGGCATCACATTCGCAGGAGAAAGAAGAAAAAAAGGGGGTAGTGGATGTAGGATGTTGCTGTATAACTGAATAGTAATTTGAACATCGCCGTCACCATCACCAGCCAACCAACCAACTAGCCGGCCGTCACCAACAAGATAAACTACTAGTTAGTTTAACTGCTGGGCTGCAGTGGACGCAGAAGAGAAGACAGTGGAAGCGGAGGGAGGCAGTCGCTGACACCGCCCTTTGCACAGCCCTTTCACACCGTCTTTCTTACCCTACCTTTGATACTACTCCATAGGATTTCAACCAGCAGCCAACGTCTCCCTCGCTTACATACACCCCTCTTGCTCGCTCCAGAGTCACCTCCCCGCCCCATAAGTATATCAGCCACATGGATGCGCTGCTGGCGATGTCAGGCATCAACAAGGTCCCGTCGTCCTCCTGAAACAGCCGGCGATTCCACCCAAACAGGTTTTTTGTGACGCCTGGGTCGAGTCTGCTGCCATGCTTAACGCTTCTCCGATATAGGCTCAGCAACTGTCCGGCCCTACCTTGTGAACCCGTCGCATATCCAGATCTATATCCTCCGTGCTCCTGATTCCTGGCGCTGTTACAGGCTCGTTGCATGCCAGGAAGTCGTCTGCTTCTTCGCCCGCTGTTCCGACTCGAACGACTCAATGTCCACCCGCCCTTTATTCACGGAAATTAATAGGTCTGGTCTCAATTTCAAGAAGTGGGATCAAAGTAAGATTACCCTGTTTTTAATTGAAAAGAAAAAAAAAGGAAAGGAAAGGAAAAAGAAAAGAAAAAACGGTCGACTGGGTCATCTTTTTTAACGGCGCTGGCGCTGGCCTGTCCCGATCTTCGCTCGCAATTGGACCGTCCTTTCACTGTCATCAAATTAGCGTCGGGCCCGTCTGGCAAAGGAGCGAAGGCGTGAGGAAGGGAAAAGAAAAGTACGAGAAAACGGCGGATCCATCGGCAACAGGGTCCAGACTTGCGTCTTTCTCATCTTTCTGGCGCTTTCGATATCAGTTTTAGTTTGGTTCCCATTCAAATATAAGGCAGGTTAGACAAAAGGTAGGGAGTAAGGGTGGAGGAAGATCTCTTGCAAGATCTAGAAGCGTTCTTTGTTTATACCGAGGCTGACGGATCGCAAAGGGCCAGCGAGGCTAGAACTGTTCCTCTCATCTCCCTGGGCGTGCGAGAGGGCCTTTTTTTTTGCCGCTTCTTCCTTACTTTCTTTTTTTTTCGTTTTGCTTCGCTTTGCCCTCAGCCTTGTTTTGCCTTGACGCCCATGCGGGTTCCGAGAACCAGTTTGCAGGTTATACATCTAACGCTGTCCCTCTATATATGGAACAGGGAACGTGTACACTTTCCTCTGCGCGTATATCTTGTTCTCTTAATACGATGATGCGCCCGACGAGGCACGCCGTAGCGCCAGCGGTGGTTGGAGATTTGAGGTTTGCCAGCCAGACTCAAGAGTCACTCTGGTTTCATGCTTTTTCTTTCCCTTTCGAGCCATTTCTTTGCTAGCAATTCTTGTCCTTCCATCCCACACCCCCCTGGCAATTCGTGTCCCCCGGAAATCACAGCGTACGGTACCAAGCCTTGTCTTGACAAATGATGCCACTGCCATGTCATCAGCGCCGGATGAGAGTAAAGGCACCGGTTCCCGGTCGTCGTCAGCACCGGGGGGCGGCAGGATGCATTGTTGGAATTGGTTAAGACTACACAGAGCCAGGCCTAAGCAAAGAAGACAAACAGAAAATGTCTTTTTAAGCTTATTCATTTGGCTCAGCGATGCGCATCAGTAGGGCAGGGTAGAGGTCGCGTTTGTTTTTCTTCATCCTCTTCTTTTCTTTTCTCATCTTCCACAATTCTGGCTGCAGCTGGATTATTAATAACTGTGACTTGCATGAGATTCGAATCATTCTCCCTGCATTTCCTTCGTCATTGTGCATAAATATGCAAGTACGTAAGGAGAAATAAATATCAATATCCCAGCTGACACATGTACGTGGTTTTTCTGTGTGCAGTTGCACTCCATACGAAGCAACGCTTGGCTTCCGCCTTTTTGGGTCATCCCCCTCCTCCTCCCCATAATCCTTGGGTGGATTCAAGTTGAAAATGCAGGTTGGGCATCACCCCAAGCCACGATCAACGGCTTTTCTCTGAGGGCCTGATAGCTGCAGCTCGTTCATCACCCATCACCTTTTATTTTCATTTTATTTTTTTTTTTTTTTCAAGGCTAGGTGCTGTGGGAAGTCCGTTTTTTTCCGCGGCGTATCAGCCTCGATGAATAAAAATAGGGGTAAGATAAAGAAGAGAGCGGGGTAGGGGGCAGTTAGATGACCCCTTTTCAGTTGTCTTGTCCTCGTTCTTTGACGAAAGGGAAATCATGTCTGTACGGAAATAGTGTCGTGAGTGATATACCAACCCAACCTTATCAGTAGAGGGGGACGACGAACCGCGGAGAATCTTGAATGATGGTAAAGTTGATCCGGAATCCTGTTAAACTCGGAGTAACTAAGCACCTTGTATGAAGGAAATGTGAAGTCTTCCACTACTCCGGCCACGCTGAGGCTGGTCAGCCCCCAATGCATGATGCAGTCAGCCAAGACAGGAGTACAGCAAAGAACCGTCAAGGGTATCACAGAATATATCCAACCAATCTCTCTTCACACGCACACTTTTTTCGCTCTTTGCTTTTCATAATTCATAATATCGGCAAATACGCTGCGCCTGTACTATCCCGACTCTGATTCCCATCGCGTAATGGAACGAAATCCCGAGAATGGCCATTGGAAAGGTTGGGCAGCAAACTTCCAGCACTATTGCGGACGGGAAAGCCGCAAGCTTGCTGTGAGGTTGCTTTCTTTTTTTGCCCTCCTTTTCTCTTCCCTTTTGAGTTACTTTGTTCCGTTTTTTGGTTTCGATTCTTCTTTGGCTTTCGCCTCTTCTCTGACTTGGAAAAGCTTAAATAAAGAAGCAAAGCTTCTGTGCCTGCTG